GGGGGGGGAGGGGGAAGTAATTTATTAATTTGTTTTCTGTTGGGTAGGAAGCATTTGCATGTTTGTGAAAGTAAGATTAAAGAGACGTTCTGCCTTATAGAGCCCTCTAGTGGTGATGTGCTTAATAAACGTGGGAGGGGTTTGGGTTGTTTCTTTTTTTAGTGTGGATACCACTGAAAATAGGAAAGAGGTTTTGTTTGGGATTTTTTTTTAATTTTTAATTATTTTTTTTTAATGCAAACGGTAAATTTCTTTACTCTCATCACTTGGATTGAAGTATACTCTACAGATAACTGAAACCAACTTGCTAAACCCTGTAATGAGTTTTGCTTTGCCCCGTATCTATACAGATACTTACACACTAAAGAATGGACTTACATAGAAATTGTGTTTTGTTGCTATTGATCTGCGACAAGTGGGAAGGAAAAGCATCAGTTGAGGTTATAAAGTGCCCCTTTGACACTAGTAATACTATCTGTTATTGGAGAATAAAAACAGCCTGAGGGTTTGGAATTTTTTTTCTTATGCCAGTATTAAAAAACAATGTGGTAAGCCATGTTTTATCTGGCTTAGGAGCTGTGGTTCTAACTTTCTAGGTTATTTATATACTTTAATATTTAATTCATTGCTTTATCTTTTTTTGGCTTTGTTTTATGAACTGCAGTGTTCTAGAGAAATTACTTTTAGGTTAATGATAAGTAATGTCTGCCTTTGATTTTGACTTTTTTCAATTCCTGTTGCTGTAAAATTAGCCCAATTTAAGAGAAGAGGAGACGGAGACAATGTGATGGTACATAGGATGGACTGCACCTATTAGAAACTTGCGTTTTAACCAACAAGTACGTAAAAAATCTGTATGATCTCATTAACCGCTACTCTAAGTCTGGAATCCTATCTGAATAAAAATAGTAATGCTTTGCTGTTCTGAGACATTCAGCATTGCAAGCTCTGACTTCTGTGGAAGCTGCAGGATCTGAGATGCTTTTGAAAATCTTGCCAAAGTTTCAGGGGAGGAAAGCAAAGATATCAAATTATCACTATGCTTTTATCTTTCGAGGCAGGACTGTGGGGCACTAGGGAAGTGGCTTCGTTGCCAAACAGATCATCTTTCCTTTCAGAACCCTCCCACCATGTTCCTGCCTAATCCTCTTCTGACAGGAAAAATACCATAATAATACAAGTACCCTGAGAACTGTAAGAGTGAGTGTAGATGTGTGGCATTAAAGAAAGTGTTTGCTGGTAGAACTGTGACACATCGTCTGTAGTAATGATGACTAAATGTCGTGACTGCACAAGTTTTATATCAAAATTTTCTTACCTTTAGATTCAAGTGGGTGAAAGATGCAGGATGTCTGTTTTGGAAAGCTGCGAAGTAGGAGGGAATGCTCTGAGTGTTTCATGGGTTAGAGAAGGGAGAGCTCTTCAGGTATATTTCTTTTCTATGGGACGGCTGTGTTTTTCAGTACTGCCTCTGTCACTACACCCTTATTGCTGCTCAGAAGAGACAGCCTGGGAGCCTGCTTGAGCTGCCTGTGAACCACATACAACTGAATAACCACTGGTTGCTCATCCTTAGCACTTCTATACCCACTATGAGTACAAAACTGGAGGCAAAGACTGTATGAAGAACTGGTGGGAAACACCTTTGATTGCTTATACTGACGCTGCATATAAGCTCTTTGGGCTAGGGTTTATTGCAGCTAATATTTATGCAGGGTTTTGTAAAAGGTGTTTACTTAGGTGTGCTGCTACCTCATCGCTGAAAAGAAGAAAACATG